CGATTTTAACCTCAAAGCGGAGAGTGGGATGTCGATCAAAAAAAAGGTTAAAACTTTGACGGTTCAAAGACAACTTTCTTGTACTAAGAGGGAGCTCCAGTATGGAAAGTTCTAACAACAAAAGTGTAATATCAAATTTGAATACAATTACTGTCAACCAATGAGAAAACATGCCACGTTACTTATGAAATAAAAAACATCCAAAAATGGTGATCCTCGTTAAAGCCACCTATTGTAAAATTCACAATAAGTAAAAGCAAAAAAAAAAAAAGTGAAAAGATAAACAATGAATAAAAATTCAAGCATTCGAAAAGGGTTTACGAAAGATACAAAAACTGTAAGTAATGTTCTTACTACACTCTTTCATTGTTATGATAAAACTACTGCTACTTATACTGTAGTTGTCACAGTTACGATCACCTAGGCCTAGTTATGACACACATAAGGGACGCTTAAAGTTGCAATTTGTACTGCCGCGACGTCAGTAAGTAAAACATACGTATGTCATGAATCACGAAAAGAAGTATACATTCTGTAGGATACAACACAGCATGACATATGAACTTCAAAAGCAAGAAATAAAATATTTCTTAATCTTGGTTTTACTTACTATTGAAACAGAACAACCCGACCGCAAGTACTTAATTAGTTTTTGCGTATCGATAAACAAACCGAACACAGTCCTCGGCTAAATAATATGGTAATTTACAATTAATATTGTTGCAAGTAAACGAATTATACGTTCTATAGCATTTTCTAATTGACGCCCAATATTACTAGAAAACTAAATAATATTTAAGTCCAACAAAATTCAAAGAGTGGTTTAACTAATTACTCCAACTCACCTGCAATTTGAGTAATTCTACCATACAGTAAATTATAATTTGTGCCTTCTCGTTATGAATATTTATCATGAAGCGCAGAATCTCGAGGTCACTCAAAAACATAATAAAACAAAACAAAAACAACATAAAGTTTTAGAAAAATCACAAAAAAATGTAGCACAAAAAATAGTGACACTGTTTACAGCGTGCAGATTAATCGCGAGAGGTTACCGAGTCCGTGTAGTTACGGCTTATTCGTTTAGACAATCTTAAAATACATTCTAAACATTGCAGCTCGGTGAAATTTACTACAAAAATAAATTTGACAGTTTGTTTTAACTGATACATAAATAGAAAACTCCTGGTATAAAAGACTATGAACACAGCATTAATTTGAAGATTCGTAGTAACAATAAATTTACTTATCACAAAGTTCCAAAGCTTCTTACAGATGGTGTTGACAGAAACTGTTCTTCTAAGAAATCTCAGCTGTTGAGGTACCATGCAGAAATATACCAGAAATCGACGTACATCCATTATAATTTTTAGTTGTTGTTTTTTTACCTATTAACTGTTAGGCTACACAATTCTTTTTGTTGATAGTTTGGTACGTTTGGATGCCCAAAACCCAAGTTGCATAAAAATTATACTCTGTTTTCTGTCACTAAGAAAGAAAGCAAAAAAAAAACAATAGTGGGAATGTTTTATTCCCTACTTTTTTAGTGAAACTTTAAAATATATACGATGATTATAAAGTAACATTTTAAGAGGTAGTAATTGGCTAATAAAAAAATCTATTCTACAAAAGAAGTTTCCATGCTAAGTATTTGAACAAGTAATCATTAGAACGATTTACAAATATAAAACTTTCAAATGTCTTGCAACAGTTTGCTAAAACAAGAATTTTAGTATTAGTTTTATAATTGATCTTCATTTTCTAAGATGTTTTTTTTTTTTTGCTTTTTACCACAGAACAACAAGAGTTTAAGACTGCAAGTTCCACCATTTTGTTTTTACCAACCCACTTTTACAAAGATGTGAAAAGTTTTTGTAGAACAAAATGCACGATAAAAATATGAGAATAATTTTCATAATGGCCAATAGCAAATTGTAGTAATAATAATATTCAATTCAAATACAGGAAAAAAACACATCTGAAGTAAAATTGTTTTTGCAGGATTTTAAAAAATAAACAGGTTAACCACGTACAAACTTTCTTTGTGAGGCAAAACTCTTAACTGAATTTAAATCTAAACATCATTTTTGGTTTTAAAATGCTCATAATGTCTATGATAACCTTCTTTTCAAATTCAATTTTGACACACATACATAAAAGATAATATGACAGGAGCAGCACGGACAAAACAATGACAAAGATCTCTCTCATTGGTTGAAATTTTAACTTCCACTAGAGTAGTTCCAAATCAATTAGTATTCTGGTCTCCCATCCCTACTTTATACCATCTTCCTGGAACCATATCATTCATGACTTATCTTTTTGTGTTTTTTGTCGCAATCTTCTCATATTCGTAATCTTGTCTTGACTTGTACACAAAGATGAAGATGCCTTTAAAGTTACTAACGAACCATCTTTTTTGTGCGAAATTCTGCAGAGAACACCTTCATTGTAAACGCTTTACGTACTACATTGCAAAAGGCCAGATCAAATTATTTCAAAGCCTCAACTAGGCCATTCAACTGATGTTAGCACTTTTTTACAGGGTAGATTCAAAACACAACTCAGAACTTGTGCATAGAAGCATATTACGCTAATATAATAGTAAATTGGCAAACAACGATTTATTGACATAATAAAGTAGTTTTATTTTGTGGAACTTTCTACATGTTTCTACAGACTATTGTTCTGTCGAAACATGTAGCATGTTCCACAAAATAAAATAACTTCATTATGCTTATGAATCGTTGTCTATCAATTTACTAATGCTCAAAACTAAAAATTCTATGTTTCCTTAACATAATTTAATCATTACTCAAAATTAGTATTATTTTAAACTTATTTCGTTTTTTGATTTGTCCAATACTTTGCGAGACAAAATTTTATATATATATAGACATTAACTATACAATTTACTAAATTTTACATTTTGTACTATACATGCTCACACAATGATCACATGAGCTCAAAGTCATAATTCAACATACTTTGAAACTAAAAAAAAAAAAAACGTTTTACATATAAACATAATAAACAACATACTATATACTACTACTAACTTTATGTAACTAAAAACACAGCTTGGCCTTTCAATATTTCAAGGTGTAAAGAAAATAATCTTGAGATTGTTAACATTAAAAATTGTTGAATGGCCTTAATTATAATACTTCAAAGTTGGAGCAGTTAAAAATTAACTACTAACAATAAAAGACACGATTCCAAATACGACAACATACCATCATTCTGTTCAGGTTAGCGCTAAACTGAAGAATCATTAATTAAAATTTACACAGTAAACCATAAAAATCAAAAAGAATTCAAAACATTGCATCCACGCCAAGGGCTAGGCCGTTCAGCTGTGAATTTGACGACTGTTTATAAAAAAACAGTCGGCTACTCTAATGACACTGACGGCTTAAAATTGATAAATTGCCATCGTATGTCTGCTTCTCTTTACACGTTTCTTGCCATATTTGCAAGGCGGCGACTTGATAGGAATTTTTTTGGTTGCCGCGGTTTATGGCAACATCCACATGTTTAACTCAATCGCGTAGGGATTGAAGTTGAAACTTGCCAATGTTTCAAGTTCAGTCACTGTGATATACCTTTTCTTTCTTTTTATATTTGTGTGAGGATATACAGAGTATGTCAACCACAACGTCGTTCGTGTTTGTTACTGTAAATTGCAAAAATCACAGCTTAACTCATTCCGTATAAGGTTTATTTTGGACTTGCCCAAATTAACTCGGTCAAATAATTTTTGAAACACAGAAACGGTTAAATCATTCTTCATACCAACAGCACAATTTCACTTAACAAATTAGCTTCGGCCCTAAATAACCCAATCCTGAATAAGTCCATACTCCACACCAAACATAACAAACCCTTCCTGACGATCCATTTGGAATATTGATTTATTTATAGAGTATCTCTATAGCTGACGAGGAGTTTGAAACACAATGACAGAGAGATGAAACTGACAGCAAAAATATTTAAATCAATATATCTAATCTCTTTTATTGTCAAAATTTACAGGATAATTTAAAATAATTCAGTTTTCAAATTTCAGTACTGTAAATATCTTAGAAACCATATAAATGAAAAGAGGTAGACCAAAACTAAAGCCATTTCTCAAATAATTATAGTCTGTTTTTTGTAGTTTTGTTTTAATAGTACTTGAGCGTTCTCAAATAAAAACATTAGTTTACATAAAGCAGCTGTAACAGTTAGTGATACATAACTGTAGATAACAATTACACTATTGAATTCAGCACTACCCTTCTTTATTATGGTTCAACATGAAGATAAAAAAAGTTGTTCAGCAGCCAATGTCAAGGCATAACTTTTAAGCAATTAGAAATCATAGTGAATTCCCAGAAAAAAAACTGAGCATTAGAAGCAATTCAATATACAAGATATATTCAAGGATATCACACTTGCAATACACACAATTTCACATAAAGACCAAAATTCTTATGCTTATCTCTTTCATGATTTCCTTAATTACAAGTAATTTACTTTTTTAGTTTTGTGGTTTCAAAGCAGTATGATACAAATACTGAAGTTAAATTTGAACTAAACAAAACCACAATAATTCTTGAAAAGAGTACAGTTACTAGGAATAACATTCTTACCACAGTAATTTCAATTTCTCATGAAATAGATTTGTATGATAATTTTTATTCTACCATAATTAATGTTTCAACTCTTGACTTTTGATCACAGTTACTTAGATTAAAATATTTTCCTGTTGAATAGATGTTGATTTAAATTGCATGAACATTTCTTTCTTGTACCCTTCATTGTGCAACCTATAGACCCCCAGTTTTAAATTTATTATACCACTTGAATACTAACAAATACTTAAATTATTTCTTCTCAAATTTGTTTCTTTAATCAAGTTAGTTTTATGTATATTTAAGTATTCTAGCAATTCTAGATGGTCAAAATTAGATCAAACCTTTTCTTTTGAAATATAGAGAATTACAAGATAACATTTGTTTTGCTATACATGTTTTTTATCATGAAACTGATACAATGTTTATTTAGATATATACACACAAACACACACAAACATATAATGCTTATCTAGTACAGCCATACAGAATATCATACAGCAAACTCAAGAGCAAAGAACTATACATAAGTATCAAAATAGAAAGAACTAATTATAACTTGCACTGAACTTCTACAAAACAACCTTAATAATGAGCCCTTTAAAATCACACACATATTTTAAGCCTTTTTTTTTATCTTTTTCAGTAACTGTATTTTTCATGTTCTTCACTGAATATCATTAAGTGTAGGTGTGTTTTTCATTTATATATTTGATACTTGTACCAAAGGTGCCAACCAAACTAGATTACAGTATAGTGACAGTAAAAACTCAGCACTAAAGTATAACATGTACTGCTATCACAGTATGAGTAGTTTTCTAAAATAAGAGAACAACTTTAGTAAGAAAAGGCATATACACCACAGTACTTGATAAGTACAGTACTTCAATGTACTATACACTGAAGCCAAATCATGTACTTGTAAATGTTGTTCTGCTAAATCAAAACAGCATGTTAATATCTGCACAAACTTTGTCAACTAAGAGTTTCTCTCCTCTCTTCACAAAATTTTCTTCCATTCTTTGAAAAACAAACTTGAATCAAATTACAAAATCCTTCTACTTAATATGTTTATCATTCCTCTGGTGAAAATTTTATATACTATCAAAACTTGCATAAATCTTTATCTTCTCTAAGATTTTCTGCAACATCACACACACACATACACACACTGTTCACATCTTCATCATGGCATTCGAAATTTGTTTCATAATGAATAGAAGCACTTTCAAGCTTTTCCAGTTGATTTTTGTTAATTTTCTATACATGAATTTTGTTTTCCTCTTAAACTGTTTGCTTTCAAGAAATGTCTACATGAACATGTCAGGACAAAGGATTAGTGATACTATCACATAAAATATTAAGTCCCAATTATCATGTCAATCTAACAAAGTTACTCCTGCAGAGACCACGAGTTTCACTTTATTATATATATGCTATCCATTCAACTTCATTTAGATATATGTTGCTTCAAGTGCTGCAAGAATTCATAGTAGGAGAGAGATGACTCTGACCGATCCTCTATCATGTGCTGTAGAAATTTATAACGGTCCTTGCTGTCCTCCCTAGATTAAAACAAAGTTTGCTCAAGCATAGAATATACTATAACAAAATATATTTATATAAAAATGTGTGTTTAAACTATGAATGTTGTAGATAAGTGCATTAAACCTTACACAGCATGGTCACAAGTAAATAGACACCACCTTTTCAGAAAAAAATGAAATGTTTCAGTCATATTCACATGAATTGATATATTTATAATGTAATTAATATCTAGTAGATCTTCGTTTTGCTCCATGGAGTTCATTGATCCTTTGGGGCATTGTGAGAATCATCTCATCAATTTTAGATTGTGGGAGTTTTGCCCACTCTTGCTTCAAAACTTGGAGTAGATCGCTCTTCAAAGTTGGTTTTTTGGTTGTTTCTTGACTTGCCAGTTGAGTATAGCCGAAAGGTTTTCGATGGGGTTCATGTCAGGAGATTGGCTCGGCCAGGGCAACTTCTGGATACCATTTTCTTCCTGCCACTTTTGGGTATTTCTAGCAGTGTGACACAGTGCTCCATCTTCCTGGAACAACATTGTGTTCTTGTCCACGAAACCCGAGGAATAAAGTGGCAAGAGTCCTTCCTCCAATATTTCGACGTATTTCGCAAAATTTATGTTGCCAACGCACTCCACTAAGCTCGATCTCCCACCAACCCAAACAACTCCCCAAACCATCATGCTGAAACCACCATGCTTCACAGTTGGCTGCAATCTGTTGAGCCAAAACTCTTGGTGAGGCATTCTCCAGACCCATATCCTTCCACTGTGCAAAAATTGAGATAATCTTGATTAGTCTGAGAACAATACGGTCTTCCAAAAGTCCAGAGGCTTGGTCATCCTATCACTTGCCCACTTCTTTCATCTGACTATTTTGGCCGGTCTTAATAAAGGCTTCCGTCTAGCTGCTCTGCAACAATAACGCAATCTGTAGAGAATCCGTTGAACAGATTTTGGGCTCATCCCACC